AGGGGGTACTGGAAAGTGCACCTTCTGGGGACTCCCTTGTTCTGCTGGGGGACTTCAATGCTCATGTGGGCAATGACAGTGAGACCTGGAGGGGTGTGGTTGGGAGGAACGGCCCCCCTGATCTGAACCAGAGTGGTGTTCTGTTGTTGGACTTCTGTGCTCGTCATGGATTGTCAATAACGAACACCTTGTTCAAGCACAAGAGTGTCCATATGTGCTCTTGGCACCAGGACACCCTAGGCCGCAGTTCGATGATCGACTTTGTCATCGTCTCATCTGATCTGCGGCCACATGTCTTGGACACTCGGGTGAAGAGAGGGGCGGAGCTGTCAACTGATCACTACCTGGTGGTGAGTGTGCTCCGATGGTGGGGGAGGATGCCGGTCAGACCTGGCAGGCCCAAACGTATTGTGAGGGTTTGCTGGGAACGTCTGGCAGAGTCTCCTGTGAGACGGAGTTTCAACTCCCACCTCCGGGAGAACTTTGAACATGTTCCAAGGGAGGTGGGGGACATTGAGTCTGAGTGGACCATGTTTCGTGCCTCTATTGTCGAGGCGGCTTACCAGAGCTGCGGCCGCAAGGTTGTCGGTGCCTGTTGCGGCGGCAACCCTCGAACCCGATGGTGGACACCGTCGGTGAGGGATGCTGTCAGGCTGAAGAAGGCGTCCTATCGGGCCTTTTTGGCCTGTGGGACCCCGGAAGCAGCTGATGGGTACCGGCAGTCCAAGCGACATGCGTGGTCGCTGAGGCAAAAACTCGGGCATGGGAGGAGTTCAGAGAGGCCATGGAAAACGACTTCCGCACGGCTTCGAGACGATTCTGGTCCACCATCCGGCGTCTCAGGGGGGGAAAGCGGTATGCCACCAACACTGTTTATAGTGGGAGTGGTGTGCTGCTGACCTCAACTCGGGATGTTGTGGGTCGGTGGGCAGAATACTTTGAAGACCTCCTCAATCCCACCGGCACATCTTCCACTGAGGAAGCGGAGCCTGGGGACTCTGGGTCGGGCCCTCCAATCTCTGGTGCTGAGGTCACCGAGGTGGTTAAAAAGCTCCTCGGTGGCAGGGCCCCAGGGGTGGATGAGATCCGCCCAGAGTTCCTTAAGGCTCTGGATGTTGTAGGGTTGTGTTGGCTTACGCGACTCTGCAATATTGCGTGGACATCGGGGGAAGTTCCCCTGGATTGGCAGACCGGGGTGGTGGTCCCCCTATTCAAAAAGGGGGACCGTAGAGTGTGTTCCAACTACAGGGGAATCACGCTCTTAAGCCTCCCTGGTAAGGTCTACTCGGGGGTTCTGGAGAGGAGGGTCCGTCGGATAGTCGAACCTCGGATTCAGGAGGAACAGTGCGGTTTTCGTCCTGGCCGTGGAACACTGGACCAGCTCTACACTCTCAGCAGGGTCCTGGAGGGTGCGTGGGAGTTTGCCCAACCAGTCTACATGTGCTTTTTGGACTTGGAGAAGGCGTTCGACCGCGTCCCTCGGGGGGCCCTGTGGGGGGTACTCTGGGAGTATGGGGTACCGGGCCCTTTGATACGGGCTGTTAGGTCCCTGTATGACCGGTGTCAGAGCCTGGTCCGCATCGCCGGCAGTAAGTCGGGCTTGTTCCCAGTGAGAGTTGGACTCCGCCAAGGTTGCCCTTTGTCACCGATTCTGTTCATAACTTTTATGGACAGAATTTCTAGGCGCAGCCAAGGTGTTGAGGGGATCCGTTTTGGTGGCCTCAGGATTGCGTCTCTGCTTTTTGCAGATGATGTGGTCTTATTGGCTCCATCAGATTGTGATCTACAGCTTTCGCTGGAGCGGTTCGCAGCCGAATGCGACGCGGCCGGGATGAAGATCAGTTCCTCCAAATCCGAGGCCATGGTCTTGAGCCGGAAAAGGGTAGAGTGCCCTCTCCGGGTCAGGGAGGAGGTCCTACCCCAAGTGGAGGAGTTCAAGTATCTTGGGGTCTTGTTCACGAATGAGGGAAAAATGGAGCGTGAGATCGATAGGCGGATAGGTGCAGCGTCTGCAGTGAAGCGGGCGCTGTACAGGTCTGTTGTGGTGAAGAGAGAGCTGAGTCAAAAGGCGAAGCTCTCAATTTACCGATCAATCTACGTTCCCACCTTCATCTATGGTCACGAACTTTGGGTTGTGACTGAAAGAATGAGATCTCGGATACAAGCGGCCGAAATGAGTTTTATCCGCAGGGTGTCTGGGCTCTCCCTTAGAGACAGGGTGAGAAGCTTGATCATCCGGGAGGGACTCGGAGTAGAGCCGCTGCTTCTCCACGTCGAGAGGAGCCAGTTGAGGTGGCTTGGGCATCTGTTTAGGATGCCTTCTGGACGCCTCCCTGGTGAGGTGTTCCGGACACGTCCCACCGGAAGGAGGCCCAGGGGAAGACCCAGGACACGCTAGAGGGACTATGTTTCTCGGCTGGCCTGGGAACGCCTCGGGATTCCCCCGGAAGAGCTGGCCCAAGTGGCTGGGGAGAGGGAAGTCTGGGCCTCCCTACTTAGGCTGCTACCCCCGCGACCCGACCCCGGATAAGCGGAAGATAATGGATGGATGGATGGGTGTCCTTCAGTCTGATTTATAGAATGACTCGTTTCATAACTTCGTGTCCTTCAGTTTGATTTATAAAACGACTCAATTCATAACTTCATGTCCTTCAGTTTGATTTATAAAACGACTCGTTTCATAACTTTGTGTCCTTCAGTCTGATTTATAGAACGACTCGTTTCATAACTTCGTGTCCTTCAGTCTGATTTATAGAACGACTCGTTTCATAACTTCGTGTCCTTCAGTCTGATTTATAGAACGACTCGTTTCATAACTTTGTG